TCTTCAGTTTTTTTTTATTTTTAAAACAATTTGAAATACCAAATAAGTTTGATTCCATGTTATGATTGTGCGCCACTTGTTGCTTCTTCAAAAAAATTACCATTTTATGTATTTATGTCTGAAGCCTGACATGTGGCAAAAGTTTGAAAAGTTAAATGGTGCAAATACTTTTGCAATGTTGCCAGGACCACTTCTCTATTCATGAAAAAAAATAGTATTCTTTTAGCAGTTTTTATTATTTTATTCTACCTGTACTACACCTTTATAACTAGAATGTGATTAAGGGTTGGTATAAATTAACCACATCTGGTTCCTGGGTAGAAGGAATTCAAGACTCAAATGTGTTTTTGAGGCCGTTTGTTTTGTCTTGCCAATACATTTCTTCTGTCCTTGAGTATAAAAGACATTTACTACAGTAACTGTAGAACTGCAGAGGAGCTCGCACCCTAGATGCTCTGTATGACAGTCTGTGTTGTCATCAAATACTTCATCACATCCAACAGAGTAGAACTTGGATAATCTTATTTTTAAACCTCATAAAATGCTTTAAGTAAAACAGAAAAGTAAGTGTAAAGTAGAAGGGACCAAAAACTTAAAATGTTGATGAATGCAGTCACTAAAACCCTTGGAATTTAAAGGTCCAGGAATTGTATTTCCCACACAATAGGAATCTTGGGTAATTCATCAGGGCGTTTTCCTATTCCTCTAAAAGGGCTGCAACAAGAAGAGAAACTGTACTACACCTTCAGTCCATCAAGTAGCAGTGATAAGAGCACATAACTGGTTCTTCCATTACCTCCAGTGCTGTCCAACCATAAGTAAATCCCTCAGCTTAAAAAGTTGATTTGATATTTCATTTTTTAACAAACTTACATCTGTCTGAAGTTGAGTTTTAGCTGTATGATTCATTTATGATTCACTAACCACTAAAAACTAATGTACAGTTATTTTTTAAATTATAACATCCAGGTGAACCTCAGATATCCTCATCAAACTAAAAAATTCAACATGTAATTTATTAAGGTCCATGTCCACATAAGCATTGATTCATATCAAGTAGAAGCTCTAGATGGTGGTCTCGATGATGGAAGGATCTTACAAGCCAACAGACAGCATCCAACTCCTGATGTCTCTTGCAGTGCTGTCAGCATAGAGTCATGCAAAATAAAAAAACGTGTATTTATACATATATATAAATGGTTATAATCTAACTTAGATTTACATTATAAACCAGTTTAAGGAGAATGTATATTTCTTGTTTCTCCAAGTGAACGTCATGGAGCTCCATCAGATCATTACTCCAAATATTTTTCCTTAATTGTGGAAAAAAAACGGTTTTGAATCAATACCTACACATTTACCTGCACATTTAAAAGTCACTACACAATTGTAGTATTCAGGTATATTCCAATGCTTAAAAACATCTCAGAACATATTTTGTGACAAATATAAGGTGTAAAAAACAACATTACTCTCACCCTCATCTGTTACCGTTACCCCAGCCCCTGGTTGAACAAATAATAATAGCAAACAAAAAGTTATAAACACTTTAAGCATGTTATTGTGCTGATAAATTACCTTTACCTAATATACTGTTTTTATTACTACAGTATGAATTGCTCACAAAGACTTTAGTGTTACAGCATAAACTTCAGGCATTTCTTTTTCGTACTGTCTTTTCATAGTGTTGTCAAAAACACAACAGTGACACCTGCTGGAGAGATCAGATTTTACCTTTGAGTTTGCCTTCTTTTACATGTAGTGACTACAACATCACTTGAAACAGATTGCAGAGTAATACTATCTGTACTGTAGATGAATTTTTAATTACTCAAACTGACAGAAATAAGAATTAAACCAGGTATCTTTTGAAGAACCTTGGCTAATGTCAGTCAAAAACAAAAAATATTTTGATTCATCTACTGGTTTTCCTCACATTACCAACAATGATAAAGACACAAAGCATTAAACAATAAATAAATGAGAGTAGCCCTTAGAAAAGATAATTTCAATTAAATGTATATCTCCAAAACATCTAGTTAGAGGAGAAAAAAATGTAACACTATCCAATATCCTGTTTAGCCTGTCACTAAACATTGTAGTTCTAGCATCTCGTGGTAAGGATTCCTTGTCTGTAACAGCGAAAGGAAGTCTAATGGTTCATGGGAAGTCGGATACAGCTAAATACAGGGCAGTCCTGGAAGAAAGGCTGTAAGTGGCTGCGAAAGGAAACATTGGTGGAGGTTTAGCCTCAAGCAGGACAACAACCATAAATACTGTCATATTTTGTGAAACTGGAAGTGAACTAAACTGAAGACAGAGATTTTGGAGCAGTATAGTTAATAGGAATAGGTTTAAAAAAAAAAAAATACAAAAACTTACAGGCAATAGGAGAACTGAGAACAAAGCATAAAGCATGGCCGGGCCAGCCCACCCTGACAGAAGTGTTAAAATGGAGAAAGGTGGTTACACCATCCTTTTACTTTTTTAATTTGTCAAAAGTACCCTGTCTGAACTGTTCAAGTTCCTGCAACTTTTTTTTTGTATTTATGACACTGAATTGCACACAGCACCTAACTGTGTATTTACATCACCATTTTCTTTCATACAACATTGCATCTATTAATAAAGAGTATGCTTTACTACATAGGTTCAGTTGGCAAACTGTCATTTATTTAAAGGTTGTAGGTTTTTTCTTGTAAAATGATCTAGTGTTAGAAAAATATTTTAGATGGTGCCATATTATTTTAAATGAAAGTATACAAACAGCTTAATGAGGATAAAAAACACATCAGTAAAGCAGTTTGCTGGAAATATGCCGATGCGTTAATTACCTCTTTGAGATTATATTTATAATCACTTTATTTAGATATCCAAAACTGATGTGTCGTAAAAAAAAAACTCAATGTTTGCAAATATAGAAGTCTTACTTTTTTGTTGTCATAGTATCTAATAGTTTATTTACTTTCAAGTTTAATGACAAATAAAGGATTATTGTATTTTATTATGTTTTACTCTGTAACAGAGAGTCCATCAGAAGCTCTTTAATATTCCCTCTAATGGTAAAACCAGGGATGATCAATGTTTATAGATTTTTATGAGACANTTTACTCTGTAACAGAGAGTCCATCAGAAGCTCTTTAATATTCCCTCTAATGGTAAAACCAGGGATGATCAATGTTTATAGATTTTTATGAGACATTTTAGTTGCGTTTAATGTATTTAGTTTTTTGTTTCTTCTTTTGTTTCTTCCTTAAAGCACTTCAATTTATCCTGTGTTTGAATGACACTTACGGGTGAACTTGGTTTGCATTGCCTTTAAAATAGAACTTAAAAACCCTTGAACAGCAGTCTGCTTCTTTTTCTTCTTCAACGTCATAAGTGAGATGGTTCTCAGATTGGCTCTGTTTAGTACTGTGTTAACATAAGTAATGCTACAGTTGCAACTCATATCTAAGCACTGAACGATTCCACAGACATGGCTTTGAAGCCTCTATTTTTTAAATAACCAACCTTCAATATCTTCTGCAGGACCACCAGAGGCGTAGCCAGAACATTTTTATAAGGGTGGCCAGGCAATAACCAATGTACACTGAGGGGTGGCCGAAAGCGGATCAGCGCCAGAACCTCAGGGTAAATCTATACTGATCCAACAGGAAAATAAACCACAACAACCATATTTTCCAAATAAAGACAAACTATACTTTCCTACAGCCTTTTCTAACAAATATACGCATATATTTAATCATCCATTTAGATAAAAGGTATAGTGGATAAAGTTCTTTCAGGTTTGAGTTCTGGGTCGAACATCTTTTCCATCGTCATTACTTACCTACTTTTATCAATAATAATTCTGTATAAAATTTATATTTACAAGGACTAATATCTACAAAAATTGTTTATTTACGATTTTTTTATTAGAATAGTTATTTATCTATGATTTAACTGAAGTCTGACTTTCTCTTTACCCCATATAACACAAAATCTAGTTCTGAAAAGAGCATGAATTCTGTACTTCTCATCTTTCATGTTAGTATATTGATGTGTATAATTAACCACAGTGTTTTTGTGGTCAAGTCATTGATAATATATGAAAAATTAAAATGTTTTGTATGTTGAGAGTATTACTGTAGTATCACTTGAGAATATTACTGCTGCCACTGTCAGTATTATGAGGAAAAAAATGGTAGGGGGGCCACAGGGGTGGCCAATGATTGGGTGGCCCGCTCTCTAGCCCCGCCCCTGAGGACCACTCCATTTCCCAGGCAACAGGATCAAAAAATAAAATACTCAATACTGCAATACTACAGGTTCCCAGAACCACACATAAAAGCAGAGGAGACTTAAAATTTGCTCTTCCTGCATCTAATATGTGGAACAGCTTACCCCTCAATGAAAGATCTACTAAAAGTTTGGATCGTTTTAAATCACTCTTGAAAGCCCACTTACATCCCCTGTCATTTAAATAAGACCGGACTATGTGAAATACCTGTCCTAGTGTTTTTATATGGTGTTTTATTTAATTTGGTTTATTCTAATATGCTTAATCATTTGATGATTTTACCATTATGTGAGGTGTGTAGCCTAAGTGAACATTTTCTGCCAAATAAGGAGTCTTCTATGCGATTTTAGGCACCAATATCATTTTTAACATACATACTTTTTTTGTTGGAGCCAGAAGCAGCATGCCATAATCATTTAAGTAAATTCTTGTAATATGTCACTCGTTTTCATTTAAATCTGTTTAAATTCAGTTTCCTTTTTTGAGCAACATTTCTGAAATAAACGTCTCTGCAGTGCTCCAATTTACATTAATGCAGGCATGGGCAGTTCTAGACAGGGGCCAACGGGGGCCAGTGCCCCTGTAGCTCATGTCATGGCCACTGTACTGAAGACATATTACCCAAAGAAATACTAATGATGATATTACTGATACTGTTATGTTACTGATAGGTCCTTTGGATCTATTTTTTCTTTTTTACAAATTCTGTTTTACTAATAAAAAAAAGATGATAGCTTCAGTGGTATTGAGATAGGATCCCAGTATTTATCTGCTAAATGTTTTTTTTTTCAAAACAACTTTTTTTAAAGCACACATTTTTACAGCTGAATTTATTAGTTTTTCTGGAGTTCCAATTCAAATTTGATAGAAAACGGCCATTTTAATTTAAATTAGGTCAAAATATGTAAAATTACTAAATTCTGAATGTATGTTGACTTAAAAAGACAAAGAGTTTTAATTAAACCTAATTAAATAGAAATTTCACTTAATGCACCTATCTTAATGTATTTGAATCCCTTGCCCTGTTTTTTATTTAACACTTTTCTGTACTCCCATGAAAACACGCTGGCCCCCTCCTGGCTCCCTAGTACATTTGGTCTAGAACCGCCACTGAATGCAGGTGTTTTTAGGTGCTCAAGGTACTCAAAGGACATTTTTGGCCCCCCTTTGTGTGCACTTCTCATATTGTAAACTAGAGGTCGCAGTTGCATATGTAACATGAGCTGATGCGGGTTCTCCGGCTGAGGTCCGACTCTTAAATCCCTCTGGCGGAGTTTATGCATCGCTCTCGCAGAGCAGGCACAAAGTGCAGCAGTTCCCACCGCAGTCTGCCTCAGCACCTCAGCAGCCCGCAATGCCCTTGGATACTGCAGCTCTTTCCGTCTCCGCAGTGCTCTGACCAGCCCGGGCTATCAGCGACTTCTACCGGACCTATCGTGCTGGAGCCCCATCAGCTCTGAGAGAAACTCATGGGAAAGGTTCAGGGATAACAGGGTGCGGGTGATCGCCACTGCAGAGGACCTGCCGGTGGTTCGCAGACCAGCAGGAGGAGGAGGAGGAGGAGGGGGTGGGCTGCCTTGTGTCAGAGGCTTCAGCGTCGCATCCACTATTTTGATCACTTCATATCACCTTGAATGGATACATCATGGCTACGTTTACATGCAGGGTGCAGTTCTTAGATGACACCGACCCGTTTAACAGCACTAATTTTCCAGAGCCCACCAGGCCGCCTCTGTACACCTTTAGGGAAGATATTCCTCTGATCAATCAGATAGCTGGAGTCCACAGGCTGCTCAAAGCCCCACACAAGGTATTTGCACAAGATTTATTGCTTGTGTTGTTATTTTTCAATAAGATACATCTTAACACTTTGACTTAAATTAATAATTACCTTGCGTGTATTGATGAGAGTTACTTGGTAACCAAGCCAAGCTGATGGATCATTGAGCAAGTGACCTGGAGCAGAAATGCTGATGAACCCAAACAGTGGTTCCCTTGGTTACTCTCAGTGATATGAGACTGAAGGCCTGTCACTTTTACATACTGTTTATTTGAAACACAGAAAAAAATAAGTTTTAAGATCTATAAATCTTTTGTAGACTTGTAAGAATCTTAAGTTAAAAAAAAGCAGACTTATTTTTTGCATGCATTTGTGTTCCTTTCCCCAATTTAGTAAAATATTTAACCCCCTCATGCTGTACAAGATGTATATTGGTATCTCTAAAACCTTTTACATGAAGTATTGGAATTGTATGAACACAAATTTTCAAGTCTTTCCACAAATGGATTTGCTTTTGGACTTGATTGCAGCTCTGGCTGTATATGATTATAACAAAATTTATGCGCAGAGAGGATTTTTTCTGATAAAATCACTTAAATTAATTCTAAAGGCAATGTTTGTGTTAGATTTCATTTAGTGTCACAGTGTTAACAGCAGAAATCAAGCTCATTTTGTAAACATTACAAACATAACATGGCAAAATGTTGCATTTTAGTAAAGTATTTTAATGCAAGAGGTATTTTTACCTTCTAGAAATTGTTATTTTGGTCCTCATAAACAAAAAATGTTTGCTGAAGCAGAGAGGCTGTACTGAAAATGCAAAACTGCATACATTCGACCTAGCAGGTCCTCTTATATGGACTGGTACTAAAGGCTCAGCTGAGCAGAATCAAGAGTCAGGTCAAATTGACAAGCATTGTTGTGTAGAACATACAGCTTTTTTCCAATTAACAGATCTTAAACATGAAGGAAATCACAAAGGTGAAGCTTAATGCATTGTTTATGTTTAGCAAAAATTGTATTTTCTCTTCTTTCTAATAAAATGAAACCCAGTTTTAAACAGTTTAAAGTCACATAAATATTAGTTTTTGAACAGTGCAATGGTCCTGATGAAGAAACCAAGAGAGAGAGTTGATTTTTTCCCCCCTCTGTCTTTTCAATGCGTTTCTTCAGAAATGTTTGTTTTGGCGTTCTGGTTAGACCATGTGGATTCAGGCACCCTTTAAAAGAAACAGCAGTTACTGACCTTCTACAGTCATATAAAACACAGAGGCAATACCAAATGTACTTTAGTGGGCATGAGTGTTCATCTGATATGGAAGCCATGAACATCAATATCCAAAGAAGGTCTGTTATTGTCCTGTCAGGTTAGTGTTATTGAAGATTGCTTTCATTGAGGTGGAAGGAAGTTTTAGAGAGGTTTTAGATTACCACCAACTTTCCTCACATTCAGATGGCAAATTGCTCTGACGGATTTGATGGAGATGCTTTGTGTTAGATGTTAGTATTAAGAAGAAATATAGTACTAAAAGTCTACTTGTTGATTTATAACCTGTGGTATTAGTGATTAAGTGTAACATCATTTGTCATCCGTCAGCAAAATAACATGCTTATCACATTTAAGCAAGGTGTTCTATAATTCACAGTCTTTAAAGAATGACCCTGTAAATTTATTGAACAACCCTGCAGCCTCTGAGCTCAGAGGTCAATCTGATATAAATAGTGTGCTGCTCACACATGGTGTCCAGGGATCCAGACAGCTTACATGTGCTCTTTCTGAGCTGTCACTGTCGGTTTCTAAAGCTGAAGTTTGGAGATCAGTGCTGCACATTAGAAAATAACATTATTTTACCTGTAAAGTATCTAAAGTACGGTGAGCAATACTTTTCCCAGCCTCTAGCATCTGCAGTGTTTAGCAAAATGATCTCTGTTACACCACAATATCAAACACCAATCTATTTTAATTTGATATTTTGCAAAAGACACATATATACATACAGTAATGATTATATTTGAGATGTGGAAAGATAATGATAAACGCACAATTAGGCTTAAAAAATATAGCCTTCATATAGATTCAGTTGCATTCTTGTAAAACCCAAAGCAACACATCACCCTCAGAAGATCCACAGCTCTGGTGGGAGAATCCGTCTTGGGACCACTACCTTCACAAATGGGAGGGTGGCAAGGAAGTTGGTACTTAAAGACAATCCCAAGTATTTATGTTTTTCACAAGTTTGTATTTGATACAGGAAGGTGGTCTGGTCAGATAAACCAGTAGGTATCATTGTAGACTATGTTTTAGACAATAGAATGTATGTTACCCTGAAATTACCATTCCCACATGTTAATGACAGCATCACCAACACACATGGGACAGTTGGTGAGATAGAATTTATTAAAATCCTATAAGAAAATATGTCAGAGGCTGGAAGAGTCTTAAAGGCAGGACAGATGATTCTGTCATGGAAGATATCTCCAATGGCTGTTTGTGTATTTTTGAATCATGCTCATGCGTCAGTGCTCCCTCCTTCGCAAAAGTTCTCTAAGCTTGCCTCCGCCGGTAATTTTGTATTTCACCAAGAGAGGCAGCAAAGTGCCAAGATGCAACTAGTCAGCATGAAATCTCCATAACCTAAAGAGGTCTCTGCCAGGGTTATTACTACAAGTTATATTTACAACTTGTTAGTGTGTTTTAACTATTTCTGCTGCAACTTTTACAGAACTTACTAAAGTATTAAACTTCATTTACTTGTCCTGTTTGTCTTTGTCTTTTGTCTTTGCAAACAGAACATCCATTTTCAGACCTTTTTGCTCCTTCAGTGCACGCCATCTCTGAAACACCTAAACACACACTTTGCCGGCGCCTTTCTCTCCTACTTTCTCTCCTCTTTTCATCTACATCGAAAAAAGGCTTTCTTTTACGGTTATTTTTGTCAGGATTCTTTTCGGCAGTCGATGCTCTAGTTTAGACAAAAGAGTGAACAAATAGCTAAAAAAAAAAAAAAAGCAGCAGCAGCAAACAAGTGTAGGAGTACTTTCTTCGTGCATCAGCATAATGGCGAACCGCTAGCCAAACAGCATATGAGTTACCCTCGGAGCCTACGTAAATAACATCATGGCGGCACATACGCAAAATGACTGCAAGAGTGCCATCCATCAATTAAGTCTTTTTAGATGTTCCGTAAAAGTTTAAAAAAAACAATCCACTGGACTTGGTTTCCAATATTTGAAGACGTTTCACTTCCCCTCCAGGAAGCTTTCTCAATTCAAATGTCTGGATCCGCAGTGAGTTTGATACTTTATATAGACAAGGCCTTGTATTGCTTGGAAACATGCAAATTGAAACTTTTTAGATGAATCTGACCTTTAATTTCTGGGAAAATTCCCCGTTCTTAACTTTAAGCCCTAAATGGGGGGTTAACGTACCAGAAGGCCATGGATCCAGTGAATTTATTTAGATCAGCGTTTCCTAATGCCGCTTGTCAGGGCCCACTCTCTATGACATGCTGAGAAAGTAATATAGTCATTTTAAACAGGTTTACTGTGGTAGAGAAACATCTGAAACACGAAGGGCTGTGGGCCCTGACAACCAAGGTTGTCTGTCAGATAAAAATGTATCATGCATCCTTAAATCTGTTCTCTGTCATACTGCTTGTGGTCTGCTGGTGTCACATTCCAGTTCTGGACTGTGACTTTACCAATTTAAACTTCAGAGGCAATTGTTGTTCTGCATTTTCTTCTGGTCCCGTAATGAGAAACTATGTAAAATGAGATGTTATGTAAAGTACAGGTTCCTCCTTTGAATTGTCATTCTCATTGTCATGCAGAGCTGAGGTTTTTCTCTTGTCTGCATTTTGAAGAGTTTTCACAGCAGAAGGCCACTTTCAAAAGAATGCATTGTCCAACATTGTTGCCTGACAGGAATTTAAGATTACTGTTGTGGTTTCTCATTCATGCATCAGGTGTACTTCAGTGTCACATACCTTCACAGAGAGACCCCAAATAAATTTATTAAAGGATTTATAATAGACACCATTAAATATCATCTGGTTTTAAAGGAATTTTTGGATTTTGGACAATGTACAGGGTAGCCACTGCAGAGACAGTACAGGGAATGGTTATGAAAGTGAGCTTTTACTGCCTAGTAGATGCTCTCTGCTTCTAGATGCCTCTCCTTCTTTGAATAAAATACTGGATTGTGATCGTAGCTTTAGATTGGAAATTGCATGGTGTTTATTTTTAGTCATTTTCCCCTGCACTGCCTTCCTGGTCAGTTGACCACAGCATGGTTGTTGAAGGGAGAGGCCAGACCTCAGTGCGAGCCGAGCTCTTGTGGTTACTTCTCTGGACTTGGCCATCATAGTGCTACTGTGGGTTCACGTCCTGGGCAGGAGACAGCTAAACAAATCTCTACTTCTGATAATGATTGGCCTGCATTCCTTCCATTTCTTGGATTAAGGACAATTAAGTGCATCACCCTGGCCTTTGCAATATTAGCTGTGATCCAGGCTGAATATAAAATGAGGAAATAGAAGGGAAGTCAAGAGTGGGGATGAACATGTGGATACACAGAGAAATAGAAAGCATAGAGCTTGTTTCTTTGCTCTCAGTCAATCTGCTAATCATTCACTGGTTCCACAGTTGGCTACTTATTGGTTACAGTTCTGCAGGATTGGCCCGATGTTCAGTCTGCTCAATCTAATGCCGAGCCAAATGGGAAAGGAAACACACATTTTGATCTTGTTTTCTGTTTGGTTTGTTAAGTTCTTGGAGTGAACTGCACGGGTATAGGAGATATATATTATGAACAGTAAATTATTCAATTTTCATCCTACACGAGATTATGGGAGTTCATATCTTATTTTATATTATCATATTTAAACTCAGATCAGAAATACAAATGTTGTTTTAACTGATATTATAGTGGTTTCTTTAATATGTTTTGTAGACATTGATGTCTCCTGAAATTGCTTAGGGTCTTGGACTGAGTTGATGACTCTCTGTTGTTGTACAGTATGACAGTCTGATCAAGGGGATGTTCCTCATTTAAAAAAAAAAAAATTCTTCTTATTCATCTGGATAGGTTCTATTGGAGCAATCATCTTCCTGTTATCCAGAAATCTACAATTATCTCTTGTCCATCTCTGGTATATCCCATGATAACAGAATCATCTGAGTATGCCTGCCGATGTCCTGTAATTAAAGTGTGATGCGTACCATGTAATGTGAGTAAAATGTAATGGTTAGATACAGACCCCTGTTGTGCTCCTAAGTTGTTTACTACCTGGTGAGACATATCAACCTTCAGTCTCTTATATTGTCATTGTCCTTTTAGGTAAAACCAGCTGACCTCCATCTGAGTCTTATGGAGTTTCTGACAGAGTAAATCACACTAAACTGTATTAAAAGCACTGGAGAAAACAAAGAATGTGTTCCTCGCAGTGCTGACTGATATGTCCAAATGATAGTGGGTTTGTTAAAAATAGTATTATGGCATCTTCAACTTCACTTCTGTGGTTTTAAGCAAACTGGAGGATTTCCTGATAGCTACTTGTTTGTTTACTCAGGTGAGCTGGCAGGAATCTTTTTTTAGGAGCTTATTGATTTGTGATGTGGGGCAATAGGAAAAGGCTGGATAGCATTATGGCATAAGGTCTTGCATAATACTTGGACATTCACTTTGGTTAGGCCTTATTCTGTTACAGTCTTTCCAGCTTCGCTTTTTTGACTTTAGGGCTGGTTATACTCCCGCAGCAGTGTGTCGCAGTGAGCTTGTCGCAGGTATGACGCAGATATTTGTGATTTATGGCCAATTTTGAAGCGTGGTCTGTGCTATGTAATTCCACCGCACAACGCAAGAGGGACAATCACCAACTAGCTGTGGGTTGAGATACGGCCAAGGCGGTGAGGTAGTGGGGGCAAGTTTGTCAGACAACGGAGGGACATGAGGGCGAAAAAAAGCGGGAATCCAGGTGGAAAAAGGGTCTGAGCGTTCTCACGCACCTCGCTCTTCTAGCTAGTCCAACTTCATTAGTTGTTTTCCGTAATGGCGGTCAAACAAATTAAACAAGCCGGTAAGGTACCAAACAGGAAATACACATGAGTAGAGCGGATATAGATTTGACAATTCAGAGACCTCCTGTCTGCGGCACCGTCTGCAGTCACCTACAATTTGATAGAGGTGCAGCAGAGTGTCTGCGGAGGGGGCAGGGATGTCTATGCATTCACCGCGACACCTACGCAGATGACCTAGTTTCCAAGTATAAATTAGCCTTTATACTTAGACAACTTTTATTGTCAGTATATAAAAAATGAAATTTTGTTTTGTACAGCTTTTAGAACATTTCCATTCCATAAAGTGCAGCTGTGATCAAATGTAAACAGTGTGGGAGAAAGACATGGTGCAAAAACGCATTGATATGGAAGATCACAGCATTAATATAAATGGTGCAAATATGCAGTACTTTTGGTCTGGTGTTAGATTTAGAGTTTTTTTCAAAAGTTCAGCAGTCTGATGGCAGTGGGGAAGAAGCTGTTGCAGAATCTGCTGGACCCTGCATTGAAAGCTGCACAGTCTCTTCCCACAGGGCAACAGGGAGAACAGTCCATGGTTGGGGTGTGAGGGGTCATTGATGATGTTACAGGCTCGATACACGCAGCGCTGGGATGAAATTTCTTTAATGGAGGGAAGAGGAGCCCTGATGATCCTCTCTGCTGTTCTTACTACTGTTCTCACATTCTTACAGTTTGAGGCGCTGCAGCCTCCACACCACACAGTGAGACAGTTGGTCAGAACGCTCTCTATCATGCTTCTGTAGAAGCTTGTGAGGATGGGTGAGGCAGGTGGGCTCCGTGCAACACTACTTCTACCATTCTTAACAATGGGCATCGGGTAAAACGATAGCTAAAGTATGAATCTATTACAACGTACAGTAGGTGTCCCTAAAAGGTCAAATGTACATGTTTTCAAATAACATTTGGCCAGTCCTATAGGATAGAGTAGCTCTCTATTTTATCCTCATTTTCAGCACCCTTACAGTTTTTGTTTCTAAAGGCTATTTTTTTGCTTTCATTGGACCAAAGGAACATCCAGTTAAAAGGCCCTGTGTTGTTTAGCAAAGATGTGTGTTTTGGCCAAAAATGCAACTCTCCCTTCCCTTTTGTGTAGCTCCAAGCCCAATTAGAGCATATTACTGTCACCTAAAGGGGTAGAGGGAAAAAGTTAGTGTCTTGCTTTTGTTAAATGTAACAAGACCGGAAACTGAGTGCTTCTGCAAGTTGGAAATTCCAAATTCTTAGAATGCAAATGTAATGAATTTTCAAGTCATAGTGTTTATCACATTCAACATATTTGATCTTTTGATGACAGAGTTGTTTTTTTTCTAGTATGTCTAAACCAGCTGAAACATGGTTATCATCGTATGGTTGCAATGGTAACCCTAAGATGCTGCTGTTTGCTGACTTGTACTTGTTATGCTTAATGATTATTTTTCTATTTCTGCTCCCCATTGCTGTCTTCCTTACTGTGTGCATTGGATAGAAAATTATACATTCCTGTTTGCTCTTGATCTAGCTTTTTTATAACTTAACTGGAGCGGAAAGTAGAGGTATAGGTACGTAATATTTCTTCATGACTTTTCAGCACTATACATTTTGCTTTACCAGCATCTCTGTCTAACTCATTTTGAAAACTGGCTTAGAAAATGTGAGCTTCATGTCTCGTTATATCTATACATCATTAAGACTTATGCCCTATATACAAATTGGTCAATTATCCAACTGAGAGAAAAAAAAATGTTAATGAAAAATTAGGAAACTGCAATCATTGAAGCATTACTTTTAAAAGTATTTTCACATGTTTACCTGCTGACTCAGTGAGAGGATGGGACGGCAGCTCTGAATCTGAGAAAATAATTGGAGGGGGGATTGAGAGTTATCCAACCTGACCACATGTTTTGTCTCAGTTCCCAAATTTGACAGTCTTTGACTGCAGTAATGCAAACAGACTGGTTGAACACTTCAAAGCCACGATGTCTCCCCCTGATTTTCTCCATCGTTTTATAATAAAGTTACACTCATGTGTGGGGGAGAGGAAGGAAGAAAGTGGTATTGCTTTGGTCTGGGAGTAAACATTTACACATGTTGCTCATTATAAATAAAGATGTTGTGGGTTGCCTCAAAATCTCACCTCCTTTGTGTTTCATCAAGTAAAAAGAACAGATATACCCTTGGCATCTTCTATTTGAGACACCATGCATATGAGGGGCCGGAGCATTGCAAGTATCTGCTCCTGAAATCAAGTGTTTGGACTTTTTTAAATGGCCTTTGTTTTCTTGTCTTCTGCTTAGCTGCTGGATCCTGGATAATGCGGAGCTGACAGCCTTTAAATATAAATAGGTGAACATCACTAATTTGGAGGTCTGTCATCAAAAGTTCAAATATGTTGAATGTGATAAACACTATTCCCCTTCTCCTTGGGGT